CACACACACACACACACACACCATTCTTGTTGAAGACCGTTGAGGGTTGAACAAAATCAAAGCGTGATGAGTAACCGCATGATTCTCTTTGATGCCGCCACCCTCGATAGGTGTGAGACCCATAGAACATAGCAAATATTCCTCACCGCATGATCAAACTGTTGTTGCTGGTGTTTCGGGCTGGTTTAATAGAATCAAGAAACAAAATTCAATCAAGGATAGTGCTCAGTATCACGATTTTAGATGATGCTTGCAACATTTGATATTTTGATGAGGAAATGGATTGATCACAAATGTCTGGTTGCATTGTTTCATGTGTCCTCCACAAATGGTAAAGGACATAGACGAATTTAATTGTTCTTGAGGGCAACTACTTTATTGGGAGAAAGTTTTACACTATCTCTAATATCAAAGACTGAGTCGGAATAAAGTCCCTCCCCCTCCCCACCTTCTCCCGGGAATAGACGCTCAGGATGATGTCGATTGAGCAACTGCTATCTCGCTTGTGCTTGTGTGCGCGTTGGTGTGTGTGTGTGTGTGCGTGCGGCGTGCATACTCGCGCGCAGGTTTCGACGCGGCGGAGTTCAAATTACGATCGCATCGATCTGGGGAAAGTTATGTGGAGGTAATTTTACGACCTCAAAAAGTGGCAACAATCCATTTGTGGGAAAATGAATCATGCCGAGCAAGGGTTTTGTCCTTCCCTTATTCTCTCTTTTCGCGTTACGCACGGCACACACACATACATACATACATATGCACATCTCTGCATTCTTGGTCCGCCTGGAGATCAAAAGCTGTGGATTATTGTTTCACCATATGTGAGGATTTCATTGAAAGCGGGATAATGACAAGCGAGCGATTGAAGGAAGAGCGCGATCGGAAGATGGTTAAGCCTAGCTAGCTAGCTGGCTGGCTGGCGGGCTATTTGTCGCCCGTTTTGCTGTAAAAACGATCAGCGTGTAATCAGAGGGACAAAATGAATTAAAACTTGTGTGCACCAATTCAGACCACAAATTTGACCGGATATTTCGCGCTCTCTCTCTGTGTCTCAATCGAAATGACGCGCTAATGGAGTTCGGAACACCCGGGTGACTGAATCACAAGTCTTGGATGACCCCCTCACTGCACCGCTGTTCGCGTGATCTGCTTCAGTCTGTCGGATCAGCTAACAAGTCTGTGGCGGTGGACGAATGGTCGGTCCGTGAATCGTAAAGTGTTTGATTTGCATCAAATGAATGGACATGAGATGTTAATGAATACGGGTTGAGAAAACGAATTTGCAAAGGTATGTGAGGATCAGAACTAACCCACCCTCACCTAACCCGGACCACCGCCACATTGCATTCTCTCTCTATCTGTACGGTTTGTTTCACAGTCATGCCCATACAACTCTCAACGTATTGGATTCATTGCACCGAGGGAGCTGGTAGAATCCACTGTTCTCCACTCCAGCTGTGAGTCTCATCGGCATGTAATGATCATCGTTTGGGATGCTTTGAAATTGGTCACGTGTGTCAGTGACCCGATAAAGAAAACTGAATGATCTTTAGTACTTTAATACGCAAAACGCCGTTGGTGGGGATGAGGTGAATGAAGGGCTCTGTGACAGATACTGATGGCCTACGTGGTTACTCGTACATAGTACCGCATACACCCTGACTCCGGACGGAGTTCAGAACTCTGCGATCAATTTGCCGGTATTATCATTACTGTGCATGATAGGTCGAATCACTATATTTTGGATTCGTTTGATCATCTCAACCGCCAGCGATGGATGCAAGTATTCCATAAGGCCCAGACAGACCTCCGATAGACCTCTAAATTTGTTTCCATGATTATTCAACCTTTTGTCGTGGATTTTAGCTCTCGTTCATGATTTTTTTTGGCCTCTCAATGTTGGCCGAATTTCCGAGCAGAACAAAAGCACCTCCCACCTCGTATTCAGACGATAATTGGGAAAAATGCAAAATAGGAGCCAATTTGTAGCCCAAATTCACCGGTGGTAAAGGATTGAGACAAGACGGATAGTCAAAAAACAAAAAAACACCACAAAGTACGACAAATTTTGGATGGAAACTTGAGGTCAGTGTGTCTGGGTGTGTTCATGCATATGCGTGGCTGGGACTAGAGCTCAACTGATCATCAGTTTGAGGGTACCGTTACTTCGACTGTTCAGGTGAATTGTCTTATCACCGATTTTATCCCCGTTTTCGGTTCTCCGTTTTATATCCAAAATTTGCCACTCACCCCAAATGTTTTCATTTCTAAATATGACGACGACAGTTAGTTGGTGGTGCATCTCACAACGACAACCCTTCAACTAATCCCCTTCAATCAGCCGTAAGTTCCATTTCTGAATGGTCCAATAATGTTAACCTTTCTTTAAACCCCAATAAATGCATTGAAGTTTTGTTTTCCATTGACCATAAACCATCAACACTTTCTACATCATCTGTTTCCAATATCTTGATCAACAACTTAAAAGTTGAAAGGTCAAAACACTTCAAATATCTAGGATGTTTCGTGTCTGCAGATCTGAAATGGTCACGTAGAACAGACATTTCCAAAAGTCAGAAAGTTGACCTTTCATATTTCACGCTTTCGGTATCTGAGGGTGCCATTGTACATTATCTCCAAATTTGTTTTCTCATGCGTTTCATGCCATTGGACCTACTGCTCTCCCGTGATTTTTCCCGGTCTACTGTCTATGGATTTCACATTAATTAGACGCTCTCTGATAAGCATCTCTAGATATGGAGCTGTATCTTATGAGGAGCTGGTTGATTCCATTGTCAACCAACATCTGAATGCGTGCGACCGTCTGTGTGACTCCATCCTATCCGATGCGTCACATCCCTTACATACAGCCCTTTCTAGCTCTACTTCAACTTCTGTAACCTGCAATAAATTTAAACCTTTATATACCCGTACCACTGCTTTTCAAAACTCCGCTGTACCTTACGTTTCACGTTTGTTGGTTTCTAAGAAGCGAATATCAAACAAACTTATACACAGTCTAATGTAAATTTTCACGAGTAAAATTTTCTTTATTTTTTTTTATACGCGTTCTCCGTGTCCTATCTATTATCATCTCTGGAACTGTTTGTTCCATCTTTAAGCTCATTTTTAAATAGTGTGCATACCAAACCAAAAGTGATAACATTCTTTAACTGAAAATTCTGTCCACATTGGATGAATAAAGTGCACTCGTGACTTGACTTGTATGTGAGCAGTAAAAAATCGTGAGCAAACGCTGAACGGCCCATGGTAGAATTGCGAAATAACCACGGGTGGAACTGTGAACACAACTGATTATTCTCCATTCTCTTAGCAGAATCCTGCAGTGAATTGATTGTTGTTATTTTTATTGCACATTATAATAATTCTAAAAAGGCAGTTCCATGTTTTCGGTAAGAACTAATGATCTTAATCACTGTCTGTGAGGTCCCCAGTTCAGTTTCAGTTCCAGTTTGTACAACCATTAACCATGCAATATCATGCACCGGTTTCGGTTGCTGTCTTTTGGCTGTCCATTTGGATGAAGAATGGGAGAAAGACAGGAAGGTTGAAAGTAGAGTCGAACAGAAATTGGAGAATCTCAGTGGTTTAGAGTTAGTTGCCAAGAAACTGAGAAGATGCACGAACGTCACTGTTTTCGACATTCGGCCATATCACTCAGTGTCTCGGTTACGATCATCCCGAGGTCCTCAGCCAGGAAGCCTAACGGGACCTACAGGTGTTGGCCAAACTCGTGCAATCCTCACCCTAATTTTGGAAATCCATTTCACTTTGCAATATCATAGTTATATATAGATGGCTATGAGTAAGGAGTATTTATTACTGGCTTTATCTCCAACATCTATGTGCTTAGTTCTTTTCTGTCACCGTTTGAATTCGCGCACCAGCAACCGTCGTCAAAATCGCGAAACTGTACATTTCAATGGCATGTGGCTAATAGAAGCAGTGACATAAGTGGGTATTATGACAGATATATCGCGTCTGATGTGGGCCAATATCCTATTCAATCCCATGAATGAGGCTGGAAAAACAAAGCATTGAGAGGAACAAACGTGATGAAAATCAGGATGTTACAGGAGTTTGGTTAACACCTGTATGTGACCCAGTGCTCATACTCTCGTGTTAGATCTTGGCTTGACCACTCTAGGCTTTATTCCACCCGCTACCTGCCTCAGCGAACATCGCGCGCCGTAGCAACCTATTTGGTGACATGCGTAACACACGCGCCAACCAACGTAATCTATGGAGGTCTATCACTTGCTCCATGGAAGACCGCAATTGCCCTAAAACTCTACGCCTAATCTCAGCATTACTCGTCCAGATTCGTGCAATGCTGCGTAGACAGCGATGTTCAAACACCGACAGTTTATCTTTATCCTGTCTTCTTAATGGCCAAATTTCTGTTCCATATAGCAGAGATGGCCGAACTACCGCAGCATTCACTCGACCCTTAACAGAGCCGTATGTCGCGACGGTGCCACGGATGTCTCAAGTTGGCATATGCCAACCGAGCCTTCTGTATGCGAGCTGACACTTCATCCGTGATGCGTCCACCGGGTGAGATGTAGCTGCCCAAATAACAAAACTTATCCACCTCCTCGATTACTTCCCCAGTTAGAGTGACAAAACTTATCCACGTGCTCTATTACTTCCCCAGTTAGAGTGAGGCTGGGTGCTGGACCATCCAGTTCGCAATCCCCAGTTGGGTCGATGGATTCGCGCACTGCACGGATGAGACCCAACCAGGTCGAAACAGCCGCACAGTGCTCTTCAGTTCACGCTTCATTAGCTCTCTGTACACGGCGAATTCCCTCTTTCAAACTAATGATCTATTGGCAACTGCTCTACAGAATGTTTTCGGGTAGTGATGGAAACACATCACAAATGAAAAACTATCAACCGTCGGGTATTCCAAACTCTGAGTTGCCTGTTCACCGAGCTTGTTGTATGTTTGTTTGAAGAGAAAAAAAGACATTCACTCCCCTCCCCCCCTGTAGAGATTTGACATCTTCGGTGATTGTAGAATGAAATAAAACATCAGTTATATGTTTACTTCCACGCTTTGGAGAAAACGTACGTTCGCTGGTTGTAAGGCAAAACCATGACTGACATGTGTGAAATGTTTCAATGTTTGTCCGACGAAACCGAGTGACCTCTGATTATCAAAAATCCACCATAATTGAGAAAAGTTCGTGCTATCGTAACCGTCTATTCACTTTATTATTTTTGGCAGATGCAATCGAACGCCTTGTAACTCTTTCCCAACTACAGAATATATTCTCTTATGTACATCAAAAAACATTACGTGACTATTTTACTTTCATGGACAAACTGTGATCATGTGACTCGTGTTCTGAACCCAAAGTGTAAACATTCCATGGGATTTAATAGGTGAAATCTGTAAATTTTTCCATGATAAAAATTTGAAATTTGAATTTAGACTCACCGTGATGGTGTCTACATGTGTGTGTGTTTGACCAGTGATCACGGTGTTGCTTATACACCGATGAACTTTGAATCCCCGATTGCTTCTCGCTCTCCTGACGAGCACAAATAATTGATTTTCTCATAATACGATACTTTGGATACGCATACTAAGCATACTAATTAAAATGAGAATCGGTTGCAGTAGACACGCACATTTCTGAGTCTAATAGTCATAGCCATCTCTTCAACTAGGCATGTGTGTGTGTGCACACGCTGTTTCAAAACACACGGACTGTGGATTGTTTTTCTTTTACATTTTCACTTCTCTTCACTGAATTCATAGTTGTCAGGACGAGGAAAGCGACCAATCAAAAGGCTGCCATCCAACACACACATACACATAATGGGGAACGTCAGGCAGCGACCGAGGTGGTTGTGATGCTGGTGGTGGTGGTCGGATTCGAACACAAGTCGTCCCCGGGGTGATGACGTGGTGTGACATTACTAGCAGGCCATCTCACCGCCCAAGCGTTTCAAGTTCGAACCCAGAGTAGTCCAAAGTACACTTAACTATATGGGACTAGATTAAACCTCAGACAGAAAATGTCCTACAATTGCGACCGTATTGGTCACCAGCAAACGACTGAGATTTGAGAGAATAGTCGAGAATGATCAAGTGCGTTGTCAATTTTCCGACGGAGGACCCAAACATACCCGAACTTTAAAATACTGTTTTCATCTTGTCAACCGTTTAATTTTTTAAAAGGAATTATCTGCAAATAACTGGTGCTGTGTTTTGCCCCCTAACCCATCCCAAATGACGTGTCTGTTTTTTTTCTCGTCATCAATTGAGTGCAAATCTTGAGCTGGTTTAACTTGTTGAAAACAACAAACTAGTGTGAGACTTTCTGTTCCTCACTCCACCCCTAACCACACATATTCAGCAGTCTTACTAAAAAAAGGGAACTTTTTCAATGAATGATACATAAGTATCATTCATTCGCCTTTTGAGCTTATTTCGAGACCAAACTAACTGCGGGCAATAGGGTATTGGTATTGATCTAAGCATCTCCCTATTTTGCTCGTGTTCTGGATTTCACCAGTTCTTCAATCAATAGTTGGGTAGTGGTTACACTTTTGTCATGAATCTCAGCTTATATTGTGGTTATCACCTACCTGAAACTGATAGAGTCCATCTACTTGAGCCGGCCTTTGCCAGTTCAACTTTAAACTGGCCTCTCCCGGCCGTGCATTATCCAATGCCGGTATCCAGTGACAGGATAACTGACGTATGGCACGCTTCTCGTTGATTGCTCGGCCCCCGGCAGTACCATATCCACCAGGTCCACCTGAGAGCCCGTCGTCCGGCACATGCACACCGACCACGACCGGATCGCTTAGTCGACCGTAACGTCGATCTGCTCCTCGTGATTTGATTTTGATCACATACTCCGCTCCCGGATCGAGAGAGTCCAATGTGGCCATCGTCACCGGGCCCACGTCTAGAATTTGCCATGTGCTCAAATCTTGTGGATTCTCATTTTTCGAATAATAGATTCGGAACCCCGTGATTGGAATCGACGGTTGCGGATAAGATTGCCCGGATAACGGGGATTTCGATCCCGACGGTAATGTGCTCCAAGTGACTTTTATCTGACGTTGATTGATTCGCACACCGGTAATCTGACTCGGTGGTTCCGGTACTGGTATGGCAAAAAAAAAAAAAAANGGGAAAAGAAAAGGGGAAAAGTGAAACTGTTCAGCTTACATGACACACAGAACGGTTACATACATTTATGACTTTGAGAAACATTTTGGTTTTTCCCCGTATTTTATGAGCCCTAAATAATTGAATAATAAATCGATTGTTATTATTAATTGACTGTAAAAATAAATACTTGATAAAGAATCTAGTTAGGGTCATTAGTATTACAGTATAAGAAGAGTTTGCTTGGAATCAGATATATGGTGGAGTCTATTTGGCAATTCACAGGGATGGGCCACCACGCACAGTCGTCGTTTGCATGATTGTGGGCAATGATAATCTATGACTTATTTTG